TAATAATAGTAATAATCATGATAATGATAATGATGATAATGATAATGATGATAATAATAGAAATAATAATAACAATAAAAATAATCATAACAACAAAACAATAATGATGAAGATGATGATGATGATGATGATGATAATAAGTGATTTTATCAAATAAAAATGACAACAGTAATATGAATAATGACCACGAATAACATAAAAAAGAAGATAATAGTACTAAAAACAATGATGATAATATGTATTCTGATAGATGGGAAGGCAGAGAGAGAAATTAAAAGATAGAGATAGACAAGCAGATAGACTGACAAAGATAGATACCCAGATAGACAGAAAAACAGACAAGTAGACAAGTAGACACCCAAATGCGGCGACAGAACGATAGATAGATTGATAGATTTCCAGACAGATAGATCAACTAACAGTTCCAAGAGATAGGCAAGTGGATTTCCAGTCAGACAGACAGACAAACTGACACACGTAATAGACTGGTAAAAAAACACGTAAATGTCCAGAAAGTCAGACAGACTAACAGACGGATAGACTGACAGACAAGTAGATGCACAGAGAAACAGACGGAAAACGGAATAGACTGACAGACAGACAAATAAAAACCCTGACAAAAAGACAAATACGGCAAACAAACGAAACAGCCAGGCAAACAGACAAACAAATAACTGTAACAAACAAACACATACAGAAAAAAAGAAAAGAAAGAAAGAAAGAAAAGAAAAAAAAACTTACGGTTAAATACTCCGAAATTTCAAGATAATCCTTCGTGCATCTTGCAGAAGACTCAAGATTCATGTCCGTGAATTCAATATGAATATCCTGAGTGTCTTCCGGCGCCGTGATGGTCCAGCGGCACCGGATACTGGTCTGGTACTGGTTCGGATAACCGGGAGATTCGATCGTTTGAGTGTGGTTGGTGGCTATCAGGGCGGATGTGCCGCAGGGATCTGAGGGGAGGGGGGGAGAGGGAGTAGAGGGCCTTTTTAGTTTGATTACACACACACACACACACACACACACACACACACACACACACACTCAGCTTAAAGTCTGCATTTGGAGGTAGTTTTATACCGTGTGATAGCTTTGATTATATATTAAATCCTAAAATGAGCAACTATTTTCTTTCTTACGAATGCGCCAATCTAATTTGCTTTACATGAATAAATATACATATAAAAAGTTGATAATAAGCCTTCTTATTACATAACGAACCCCCACACAAACACTTTCAAGGATGGAGACTCCCTAAAAGCTAAACAAAATAATAAATAAATGGTGAAAACACTCTACCATGTTGATCCTATGGTAGAAAAACCTACAATATAAATCTAGTTTTACATTGTGTTTTTTTCTACCAAAGTAATAAAAAGAAAGATCGTTTTGTAGTCATACTAAGTATATCCTCTTCCTTCGTAAAAGAAATGTGATATTTTCCGGTTCTCTTGGGAAAGCGACCCCTTCAAGAATGTAAAAATACGGGCGAATTTTTCGAAATTGAACGAAGAGGATCCCATGGCAAGCGAACAAGAGGAACCATTGTAATGAAAACAGAGTAAGATTTAAATGAAAACGAGACGTATTCAGGTGATGAGATAAAAAAGGTTAAATTTAGAATATCATAAACAATAGGAAACAACATTGAACTGAAAAAAAAGCGATTACCTTCCTCTGAAAAAAAACCCTTTCCCTCAATTTCTACGGTGAATAGAGAACCCTTCCCCCTTCGCCCATACCACCCCCTACCCCCCACCAAAAATACAAACAACAGCCCCAAACCCAAATTACGTAAACCACCAATCACACACACACACACACACACACACACACAAAAAAAAAAAAAAAAAAAAAAAAGGCGAGAACCTCAACCATAAACCAGAAATCAAAATAAAAATTACACAACCAGACCAACCCCACACGACCCCGTTTAAGCGAAGAAACCACAAACTCACGAGGGATATTGGACACCGTCGCCGTGAAACCAGCTCTCTCATTAGCACTGTCGGAGGTGAACCGAATGTACATGACGTTCGAAGAAGAAACTACAGACGGAGGGAGGGACGTGCTGTTGCAAAAGGTGCTGATCAGGGGAGACTTATCCGAGGGACCGTCGAAGATCTGCAACGAGGAAGGACGAGAATAAAGGTTCAGTTTAGGAGTAACCAGATTGAACAACGAAGAGGAAGAGTGGGAGGAAGAGAAAGAAAAATAGAAGGAGGAAAAAGACAATAAGAAAACGAAGAAGAAGAAAAATATAAGACTAAGAAAAAGAACACCAATAATAATCATCATTACAATAAAGCAACTGACCTGCACATGATCATAAGGACACGGACTGGTGTCATTCTCTCCCGGAGGCTCGATGTCAAGTCTAGTGAAGGTGAGATTGACCACGTTTTCCGCCAGGCCAACGACAGTCCAGCGACAGTCGAGGAAGGGCTCGTAGTTCCCTGGAGGCAAAGGGGGAAAGGACAATGGTAACAGGAAATGACATGAGTGATGGTGATAAGAAGAACGTGATGTATCCGCACTAGAGGATTTATTTTTTATCTATTTTTTTTTTTTTTAAATCTTTACGTCCCTGGGAGCGAAGGATTTTACCGAGGATTTTGTTGTTGTCTGGGTGTGATAAAGATAGGGCTATGATAACAGGGCTTTCCTTGAACTAATGATTTGATTTGATAGAGAATGTTATATATATATATATATATATATATATATATATATATATATATATATATATATATATGTGTGTGTGTGTATACTTGTTTATTTATTTATATATCTATTTTATTATAATCATTATCATTGTTATTATCATCACGTATATATATTTTTTGAGGGGAATGATTTATTTTTTTCTCTGTGAGCGATGGAAAGAAGACTATGATGCAAGAGATGATAAAAGGAATTTCCATGAAAGATTAATCTTCACTGAGTCGAGGATTTTTTTTATTTAGTTCCTTGGGAGCGATAAAAAGATGACCATGAACGATTAATCTCACTGATAAAAGGATTGTTTCTCCTCTTTTTTTAGTTCTTTGGGAGCGATGGAAAGAGGACTATAATAACTAAAACAGGATGACAGGAATTTCCATTAACGATTTACTTCACTGAGTAGAACATTTTCTCCTTTCTTTGGTTGGGTTTGTCACCAGCAGTAAGTTAGATTAAATACATAATTAGTATTAATTAGTTGTGGCTGAACGGCCGCGGTGGCCGGGTGGTTAGAGCGTCACCGGCCGGCGCGTTGTTCCCCTGGGCAAGGAACTACACCTCTGTTGCCTATAGGTAACCTGATCAGGGATACGTGAAGCCGCAGTTAGCAGGTGGTTGATGTGGATTTCAAACAAGAGCAGAGAGTGCACTCATTAGTTGAACCACGAGATGCTGAGCAGAAGAACCACATCATGGTCAATGGCCAAGGATTACCCATCTAGTCTAGACACTGCTACTGAAGACAGCAGTGGAAACCTACTTCAGTACCTCTCACTAGTCAATCAGTAATAAAGATTTCAAAGGAACACTTGGGACAGCATGAAGGATCTCGCCACTTAGCGACAGTTGCTGGAACATCAGAATTTCTGCATTGTGTGTGGTCACGAGAGACATATAAGGTCATTGGTCACAACTGTTTATCTCTGAACTATCTGTTAACCCAATGGTGCCGGGGGAAATGAACAAAAAATGGAGAAAATGCTGTGCCCACTTTCTATGTTTTTCGTGAAATGTCTGCCGATAGATGGCTCTGCTAGCGCCTGATTTGAAATGGCGGGAAAAACGTATTTTTCACTAGTGCTATGAAAATCGATGGTGTTATTTTTACCATAAACATTATAATTTTTATAACGCTTTTTAACATTAGTAACAGCAAAATAAGATTACGTAAAATATTTTGTAAATCAAAGAAACGGGTAAACAGGCGAGACGGGCGGTGCTCGTAGTTGGCTCATTGGTGATTTAGTCTAAGTGTTGCCATCTATACGTAAAAACAATCAAACAAGTACTCATGGTGGGCATAGCACGTACGCACACGTCATACCCGGCACCAAGGGGTTAATAATGTGTAACTGTTGGGTTGTCTGTATCCTAGGGATTGACTAGACTTTGGATGTTGATTATGAGTAAGTGAGAAGGTGTTGTGGTTAAATAAAGAGGAGAGTTGTGGTGAAGAGAAAGTGGATAAAGATGGACATAGGTAAATTATTTAATTTCGTGGAAGAAGAACGGCGAAAGGACAAGATTGCGTCGATATTTTATGTCTGGGTCATAAGGCCTATGTCATAGGGAAGAATGAAGTAAATATTAACGATAGCCTAGGGTAGGTGAGTAGATGTTAGGGGTAAGTTATCAGTAGACTATTGTTAAAAATAAAATGCTTCGGGTAGATTAAGATGAGCATAATCTGGGTTGATTAAGTAATATATTTTTGGTAAAAAAGTGATACATAGAATGAATAAAAAGGTATAAATGAGAATAAATATCTCTACACTGCAAGAGACGTATCTTCATCAGTCATACCACATGTGTTTCTGATGAAAATGAAGTCGAAAACAGTCAAATACATTTCTTGAAGATATTCACGTTCATACCCTTTTCTACATTTGTCACAATGAATACTATTCACTAGAGTAGAACTTTGAAGAACAGGAAGGTCAATAAAGTTACATTATAGTGGAATATAGAGCAGGTTAAGTGTATACAAATTAAGACTAATGGCAAAGGTCTGCATTCTGGCTTTATGAATGAATTGATCATGACTAAAAGACCATCTCATTATATTTTGGTGATGAGCAGAACCAGCAAGCGGATGAAAGTTCAGCTAGAGGATTCAGTCATTTTTAAAAAATGTGGTAGACTTATGTATTTCGAAACTTGATTTATGGATGAGCTGGCCATGACAAAAAAAAAACATCTAATTATATATTGATGATAGACAGAATCAGTTCACAGATTCAGCCGCCCAGTTTGCTTGGAAAATCTATTTTCTA